CAGTTTTTCAAATATCCTATCTGACCAAAAATTTGTCCTTATTTTTCTCTTTGGAAATAAAGAAATGAAATACCTATCACTCCCAATTCATTTTCACATGGGAGAAAAAACAAACAAACAACAACAATAACAAAAAAAAACATGTCTGAAGGGAGAAACAGGTTGGCAAACGGTATTCTCAGTGACTGCTTTTCCTTCTTCTTAAAAATAAGTTGAATTACCCAACCTAACCATCGCCAGTATATCAAATATCCCCTTTGATTTATTTTTACAACATTTACAACCGTTCTTGCCATATTTGAATAAGCTTCGCGGAATAAGCACGTAATTCATACATTTCTGCGGGGTTGGTAGTTCCATCTCGGTATCAGTAAAGCCATCGCTCAAATTTTCGAATACATTTTAACCAAGCGTCGGTAGTAACCTATCTCGATATATATAAATAAACAAATAAATAGATAAATAGATAGATAAACAAATAAATATATATATATATATATATATATATATATATATGTATATGTATATATATATATATGTGTGTGTGTGTGTTGTGTGTGTGTGTGTGTGTGTGTGTGTGTGTGTGCATAAATATGTATGTATGTATGAATATAAGTGCATGCATGCTGACTCTAACCATGAAGGGATGACATCAAAAGCAAAAAAACCTACCGCACGTGACCTCCGCACAGTCCTTGACCCAATAACTGTCATTCGCCATAATGAACTTGACCAGCGGAGGGTCGTGGGGGTCGCCTCGTGTCGCCCCAGCATCTCTTCCCGAGGAGGAGGACGACCACTCCAAGCCAAGGGATGGGATCTCCAGCGTGTAGGTCGTCGCCAGTCGTCCAGCGGAGTCATCTTCTATGCTGACGCGGACGATGACCTCATGACAGGGGTCGCCGAGATGAAGGTCACGTCTGGATGTCACGTCGGCCTTGATGACCCTCGAGACCTTCCAGTGGGGGAGGCGGACGAAGGCCAGGGAGGGGGAGGAGCCAGCGGGACGCCAGAGGGCTCTGGTGACGCCCTCGCGCGCCTCCATGTTGACCCAGCGCACGGCCGCCCACTCGCACTCTGGGAGGCGGATGGGCGTGTGTGTGGATGAATTAGGGATGGATGTGTGTGTGTGTGATATATATATATATATATATATATATATATATATATATATATATATATATATATATATATATATATATATATATACACACACATATATATATATATATACATATATATATACTATATATATATATATATATATATATATATATATATATATATATATACATACACACACACACACACACACACACACACACACACACACACACACACACACACATATATATATATATATATATATATATATATATATATATATATATATATATATATATATATATATATATATATATATATATATATATATATATATATATATATATATATATATATATATATATGTATATATATATATATATATATATATATATATATATATATATATATATATATATAATATATATATATATATTATATATTATATATAATATATATATATATATATACCACATTTACATACATACATATATATATATATATATATATATATATATATATATAATATATATATATATACACATATATGTATATTTTTCTCTTTAATCACAGCCAAAGCCTCCTCTTTTGACCTACCTGAGCTACAGGATAAGTGGTTGTAGTTTCCCCCTGGCGATAAATGCAGTATGGATCAGTACAGTCACATCATATATCAATCACAACACATCCTAAAAAGTACTTTACAACTCCCAGATACAAACACACACACAGACGTCATTTGCATGTATTTATGTGTTTTTGTACACTCTCTTGCAAGCATAATGTTAGATGCTAAATTTTTTTTTTTTTTTTTTTATCCTCCTGCATCCAATAAGAAATCAAATAAATCAGTAAAAGTAAACAATACCCTTTAGAAATTGTTTAAAACCGTAAATTAATGAGCTTAGAGCTTAAAACATTGACTTGAGAGCCTTAAAATATTGAGCTTAGAGTCTTGAAACATTGAGCTTAGTATAGAGTCTTGAAACATTGAACTTAGAACCTTTTGTCAATGAGCTGAGAACCTAAAAACACTTAGCTTAGACTTAAAATTGTGAACTTAGAACCTTAAACCAATGAGCTTAGAGAGCCTTAATAACACTGTCTTGAGGTTTAAGCCAATGAGCTTAAGATTCTTAAACCGAATGTCTCAGAACCATTAGAAATAAACTTACGAGCCTTAAAACAGTGAGGACAGAGCCTTAAACAGTGAACTTACAGCTTTAAACCAATGAGCTGAGAACCTTTAAAATGAGCTCAGTGTCTTAAACCAGTGCTCATAGAACCTTTAAAATGAGCTTGGAGTCATAAAACAATGAGCTTAGAACCTATAAAATGAGCTTGGAGCCTTAAACAAGTGATCTTAGAGTATTAAACCAGTGAACTTAGACCTTTA